TACAATCTGCAGACATGCATGTTTCGGCGTTCAACGCCTCGTCAGTGCAGCTTGGTACACGTCTAGATACGTGAGACACTCGTATTAATACCCCATGAACTTGCTCTCACCAAGGCATGTGGTACAACACGGTGACTCAACGCATCCAGACATGCGCAGAGCGTAATGGAGCCAGAGTGCTCAAACGACCACAAGGGAAGTGAGCTTTGCATTATATATATATATATATATATATACGTATATTATATATATGTATATATATATATATATATTGAATACAGGTTTGTTTTTCCTTAAGCTTCATTTAGAAGAAAATGTTGTTTAATTTGTTTTTTAAAGGCACTTAACGAATTTTATACTTTTGAAATTTGGATTTAGTTTATTCCATATTTCAACTCCTTTGGTTGATAAAGTTTGTTTTACATAATTTGTTCTATTATAACACTTATGTAGTTTTTGTGAATTTCTCGTGTTATGCTGACGAATCTGACTATTTGTTACAAAATAATATGAAAATACTTCTGGTGAATTATTTAGGTTGTGATATCGAAACATAAACAGTTAAAAAATTATTTATTTTAATAAATATATTTAAAATGCCTAATTCTTTGAAAATAGGCTTAGTGTGTTCCAAATACGAATTAAATGTCATTAGGCGAACAATTTTTTTCTGTATAGTCATAATTTTTTTAATTCTGCTGTTGTAGGTATTACCCCACACCAAATTGCCTTAAATAAGATATGGATAGACCAATGCATAATAAATTAGTTTTAACGCATTTCTACTCATATAATGTCTAATTTTGGCTATTATTCCGGAGGCTTTTGTTATCAATTTCACTATTTTGTTAATATGATCTTTCCACTGTGGCAATTGATACACCAGACGGAAATCTTAGTTTAAAGATAAAGAGCAGAGCCCAGTAAATAACTTTAAATCCAAACATAATAAAAGTAAAAAAAATATTAGCTAACGTTTCGTTGTTTACAATACAACATCTTCAGAGCAATCTAAATGAATTTACAGGGTATGGTATATATATTTACAAAATAATGGTTTAATATTACAAAAACGGTTACATAGTTTGAAAGAACAAATGAATAGAAAGAAAGGAAAACAACTTATCAGTAACTAGTTAATAAGTAAAGATTAATGTATGGTTAGTATAGTTAAGGTTAATATTACATAACTAAAATAACTCAAGATTGGTAGATCTAATATTAGCATTAAGGACAGGGTTAAGTTGAGATATTAATAGGCTTTCACGGATACGAAGATCCCACTCAGAAGTGCCTGATGATAGGATTTTGAAATCAGAAGCGGAGACAGGGTGTTTGTGCATGTGTTTATGAGCGAGTATACTAGACATGGTTGAGATAGAGCGTTCTTTTCCAGTCAAAGGCGAGACTCCCATATGCTCCGAGATACGTGTGTGAATGTGGCGGCGTGTTTGGCCAACATACAATGTGCTACAGCATTGACACGTGAACTGATACACAACATGTGATCTCAGGGCAGTGGGAATCCTGTCTTTAAATGGAAAGAAGCTAGAAAGGCGACAAGAGGCTAGGGACGGAAAACAACACGTATGGAAATATGTGGATAAGCAGAAACAAAGAACTTTACTAAGTTGTGAACGGATATGTAGACCATGATGTCCAGTGAAAGGAAGGCAAAAGTAAACAATTTTCTTGGAACATGTATGGACCTTGTCTTTGGCGTTGTAAATCCTGTCAAGAAATGTCTTAATGCAACTATCTATAAGTGCTTTAGGATAACCATTGGAGGAAAAGGTTTTCTTAAAATTTTCCATTTCAGACTGAAAAGATATGTAAGAAGAACAAATATTGAAATATCAAGATATAAGAGAGAAAAGGAGACCGTTTTTGTACATCATTGGAATAAAGCTATCAAAGTTTGTGAATAAGCCAGTTGAAGTGCATTTGTGATGGACTGAGGTCGCGAATGAGCGGCCGTTTTAACGCATTACGTTAACATCAAGAAAAGGGAGCGAAGAATTGTTTTCAAGTTCATGTGTGAATTGAATATTTGAATGTTTGGAATTGAGATAAGAGAGGAAAGGAAGCACATGATCACGGGATTGAAAGATCAGAAAACAATCACATCAACATAACGACGATAAAACAAAGGTTTAAAGTTAGAAGGGCAGTCAGCTAACCAAGATTTTTCATCGAACGATAGAAAGATGTTAGCAAACAGTGGACCAAGTGGTGAACCCATTGCAACACCATCAACCTGCTTATAAAGAGCACCATCAAATAGAAAATGACAATTCTTTACAGATAACTTAAGAAGTCGAGTGAATTGATCAACTATGAAACCGTGAAAGCGTGAGGTATTATAGAAACACTTATTAACAATTATACTAATAGTCTCATCTAAAGCTATGTTAGTCACTTTTTACTGACATAGCTTTAGATGAGACTATTAGTATAATTGTTAATAAGTGTTTCTATAATACCTCATGCTTTCACGGTTTCACAGTTGATCAATTCACTCGACTTCTTAACTTATATGTAAAGAATTGTCATTTTCTATTTGATGGTGCTCTTTATAAGCAGGTTGATGGTGTTGCAATGGATTCACCACTTGGTCCACTGTTTGCTAACATATTTCTATCATTCCATGAAAAATCTTGGTTAGCTGACTGCCCTTCTAACTTTAAACCTTTGTTTTATCGTCGTTATGTTGATGATTATATTCTGATCTTTCAATCCCGTGATCATGTGCTTCCTTTCCTCTCTTATCTCAATTCCAAACATTCAAATATTCAATTCACACATGAACTTGAAAACAATTCTTCGCTCCCTTTTCTTGATGTTAACGTAATGCGTTCAAACGGCTCATTCACGACCTCAGTCCATCACAAATGCACTTCAACTGGCTTATTCACAAACTTTGATAGCTTTATTCCAATGATGTACAAAAAAGGTCTCCTTTTCTCTCTTATATCTCGATATTTCAATATTTGTTCTTCTTACATATCTTTTCAGTCTGAAATGGAAAATTTTAAGAAAACCTTTTCTTCCAATGGTTATCCTAAAGCACTTATAGATAGTTGCATTTGTTGTTTAAGACATTTCTTGACAAGATTTACAACACCAAGGACAAGGTCCATACATGTTCCAAGAAAATTGTTTACTTTTGCCTTCCTTTCACTGGACATCATGGTCTACAAATCCGTTCACAACTTAGTAAAGTTCTTGCTTCTGCTTATCCACATATTTCCATACGTGTTGTTTTCCGTCCCTCTTGTCGCCTTTCTAGCTTCTTTCCATTTAAAGACAGGATTCCCATTGCCCTGAGATCACATGTTGTGTATAAGTTCACGTGTCAATGCTGTAGCGCATTGTATGTTGGCCAAACACGCCGCCACATTCACACACGTATCTCGGAGCATATGGGAGTCTCGCCTTTGACTGGAAAAGAACGCTCTATCTCAACCATGTCTAGTATACTCGCTCACAAACACATGCACAAACACCCAATCTCCGCTTCTGTACTATACTAACCATACATTAATCTTTACTTATTAACTAGTTACTGATAGTTGTTTTCCTTTCTTTCTATTCATTTGTGCTTTCAAACTATGTAACCGTTTTTGTAATATTAAACCATTATTTTGTAAATACATATACCATACCCTGTAAATTTATTTAGATTGCTCTGAAGATGTTGTATTGTAAACAACGAAACGTTAGCTAATATTTTTTTTTACTTTTATTATGTTTGGATTTAAAGTTATTTGCTGGGCTCTGCTCTTTATCTTTAAACTATGATCTTTCCAGGGGCCGGTTGTATAAAACTCTTAATCACTTTTTTAATCACTATTTTGTAGTTAAATAGTGATTAACTCTCAAATAGGCGCTTCTTATTGGATGACATTTCCACTTAACTATGATTAACTTTAATCACTTTTTTATACAACCGGCCCCAGGTCAAACATTCATCAATAATAATACCAAGAAACGTAGTACATTTGACTTGTTCAATTTCTTCATTGTTTATATTAATTTTCTTGTCCAGTTTAGGTTTTTTATTTGAAGATCTGAATAAGATAAATTTCGTTTTTTTATATTTAGGGACAACTTTTTTACATTTAACCATTCTTCAACCTTATTTAATTCAGTTTGGATAATAGTATTAAGTGTTTTAAGACAGCTGTTGCTATGAAATATAGTCGTGTCGTCTGCAAATAATATAAATGAAAGCAATTTGCTACAATACTCAATATCATTTATATATAGCAGAAATAATATTGGTCCAAGTATAGATCCTTGTGGAACACCACATTTTATTACCATCTCTTCTGATCTAGTTTGATTATAGAATTTATATTTAACTATTTGCTTTCTGTTTGTTAAATAATTTAAGAACCATTGTTGAGTTATTCCGCGTATACCGTAATGTTGGAGTTTTTGAATCAGAATCTTGTGATTGATAGTATCAAAGGCTTTGGACAAATCTAGAAAAATACCTATTGTGTATTCTCCTTGATCAATTGCTTTAGTAATTTATTAGCTAGTTGACTAATTGCAAGCTCTGTGGATCTGTTTTCTCTAAAACCATATTGATTCTGTGATAATATTTTTTTTTCATTGAATTTTTTCATTGAATTTTTTTTTTCAATGAATTTCATTAGTCTCTTATACATAAGCTTTCCTAATATTTTTGAGAAGCAAGACAAAACAGATATGGGTCGATAATTTTTGAATTGGTTAATTTAATTTCATTTGATTTGAAAATTGGTGTAACTAGAGCTATTTTAAGATTGTCAGGAATAATGCCACTAAGAAAAGTTAAATTGAAAATGTGTGCAAGAGGTTCAGAAATTTCATTAGCAATTTTCTTAATAATTTGTGAACTCACACCATCATATCCTGGACTCTTTTTAGAATTCATCTTTTTTATTTCTGTTTCAATTTCATATTTTGTAATTGGTTCAAGAAAAAAACTATCTTTATAGTTATGCGAAAGGTATTCATTAATTGTTCTTTTGCAATTTGGCATTTTGTTGGCTATTCCTGGTCCGACGTTTACAAAGTATTCATTGAATTTATTTGCTATAGTAAAAGGGTCAATCAATATTTCATCGGGACATCTTCCGACAAATTCATTCGATAATATTTGACTCTTTTTTGTTTATTCATAATTTCATTGAGTGTCTTCCATAATAATTTCGCATTGCCTTTGTAATTTATTAGTTGCTCTTCATAGTATTTCTTTTTTACTCCTTTTATTACATGATTTAATTTATTCTTGTATTGTTTGTATTTGTTTTCATTGTTTGCAGTAAGATGGTGTAAATATTTCTTATATAACTTATTCTTTTTAATAACTGATTTTGCAATGCATTTTGTCATCCATGGACTTTTCTTTTTGTCAATTTTTCTTTTTGTAAGGTTTTTTGTTAATGGGAAGTTACTTTCGTAGATTGGAGAAAATAAGAAAGTGAAAGAATTGATTGTATGACTCTGTGATGTTGTTACTAGAAAGCACGTTTTCGCATGACATATTTTTAATACTATTGCTAAATGATTTAACATTAGAGTCTCTGATGACATTTTTGTAAATAAATTCTTCTGCTGGTGGTGTTTCATGTCGCGTTTTTAAGTTACGTACATGAACTATGGGTAAGTGGTCTGAGATATCACAAAATAATATCCCGTTTGTACTATCTTCTATATTTCTAATACATTAGTAAAAATGTTATCAATTAATGTGGCAGTGTGTTGTGTGATTCTTCTTGGTCTTAATATAAGTGGGAAAAATGAAGACGTAAACATTTGTTCTAGAAATCTGCTAGTATAATTACAAGATTCTGATTTCAAAAGATCTATATTAAAATCCCCCATGAGGTACTTTATCTTATTTTCTTTGTCTATTTTGCCTAGTATCTGATTCATTATATTTTCAAACGAATCAATTTTATTGTTTGGCGGTCTATATATTACTCCTATTATTACGTTTTTACCAACAGCTGTAATGAGTTCTATGAATATGGATTCAATTTTAGTTTCAGTACTTATGTTTATGTCAGCGCGTAATTTGTATTTTATTCCTTGTTTTATATAAATACCTATTCCTCCACCGTTTTTACCGATACGGTTCATGTTGATAAAATCATAGTTTTCAAGTTTGAAAAGGTCCTCATTAGTATCATTCAGCCACGTCTCAGTTAAACCTATTATGTCTAATGGTATGTTTAATGATTTGGTTAACTCCTTGAAAGAGTCAAATTTATTAACTATGCTTCTTGTATTTAAGTGTAACATCGAAAAGCTTTCGTTGAGATTCGCCTTGTTGGGAAACTTATTATTGAAATCATTTGGTAAATAGTATTCACGGTTGTTTATTATTGCTTTTTCCATATTTGCGTTATTTTCGGATAATGCAATATTATTAAAACGAGAGTGGAAAGGGTTAAATTTCAAATGCCTTAGCCTATCCATATCGTTTTCACTGATATTTTTCCGTTCAAAACGGTAAAATCATACTCTAAATCGTCAAGTGTTTGAAATGGTATAGTATCAGATAAGCAGTTTTGACACATGTCAATAGTGTTATTTGTATTGGAGTCAAATGACTTTGCGCAAGCAGACACAGCGTGAAACAATTTTTCATATGTGAGGCACTCAATATATTTTTGTGTTTCTTGAATTATTTTGAAGCAGGAATAGCATTTTTTCCTGTGCTGATTTTTATGAGTAGCCATTCAGAAAGTATAGTAGTTTTGTTGAATGTTAAATTAGATTTTCAAAACACACAATATACATGATATAAGTATTAACGTGCATTAGTATTATCAAAGACTTGCCCTTCAATAATCAATTTATACTTAACAATTCTTGCTTGAGTAGTAATATAGTTACCTATCGGGCCGGATTTTTGAGGAGGAGAAATGAGGAGGAGGAGTGAGGAGAAATGAGGAGGAGTGAGGAGGAGGAGTGAAGAGAAATGAGAAGGAGGAGTGAGGAGAAATGAGGAGGAGGAGTGAGGAGGAGTGAGGAAAAATGAGAAGGAGGAGTGAGGAGAAATGAGGAGGATTGAGGAGGAGTAATGACGTCACTCATTAACATACGTCATAATTATATGCAATGGCGTCACGCGGGCAGGTTTAAACAAGGACGTGTGAAACTTGCTGACTACGCATTTTTTAGCGTCTCCCACGTGTGTGATACAATAGAGGGATTAATCTTGGCTTACTATGAATAGTTCGTGTCCCTCGCATGGCAAAATTGTTATCGAAATTAATATATAGCAGAGTTATAGCCGTATCTTTGCTCGGAAGAGATAAATTTCCACAGGTATATTGAAGGATTTTTTGTATGTTCCATAGCGAGGAATCTATTCGTCACAAAAATCAAGACATATTTTAAACTAAACAGTTCCTAATCCCGAGTTGTCAACGTCGTTGTTATGGTCAATATTTGCATGTTGTTCAAGATTATTTAGCAATCCTCCTACATACATATATACTGTTAAGATGATCATAAGAAAGCTTATCAAGAGTAGAAGTTAGAATTAGAACAGTTGTAATATTTTTTTACACTATCGTCTGTTATTTGTATCAATAAACATGTTTTAAACTTTGCAAATGTTGCGTTGTTATGCGTTGCTAAGTCATTAGGAGGCGTGTAGGTAATTAAGGGGATTAAGGTAATACAAATTTGCATAACTAAGTGTATCCCGATGGATAGATAGGGATTATTTTTTAACGCAGGTGTATACCTTAAAATCAGGCGCGTGGCTTTGCGGGTACATGCATATATTAAAGTACAACATATTTGTACACGGATCTTTTCGCGCGGGCGGAAAGAGCGGGCTTTGCCGGCAAAAATTACACAATATTTCAGTTTTTAAACACATTTATTTCTTCAAAACGTTTTACAAAATTTAGTACGGTCTACTTCTAAGAGCGTAACGTCTAGGTGTTTTTGTTATTTTTAAAGAGTTCTCATATTCTTGTCTATCTTCTGGGGATAACTTTGCAAGTTTTTCCGGCTTCATTGGAATATATTTCGGTCTATCGTTCAATATAAAACGTTCATAATCCTCTCTTGCTTCCGGAGTCATTCGCGCTAGGTCACGTTCGGTCCAATCTGCTGGGTCGACCCAATTGTGAAAAAAATTGCGCTTGAGTTTTGGCCGTTCCTCTTCTGTTGGTGGTGGTGTAAGGAAATTAGGTTTAGGAGTAGCAGGCACTGGTGGTGCTATCTCAACAAATTCATTGGGTTGTGGTATTTCTGCAGGCACTAGTGGAGTTGTCTGAACAGGAGCTTGAGCTGGGACATCCATCTTATTTTTGAATGTGAGAAACCGATTTAGTTGATCCGAATATAATTTGCTTTTTTCCACTGCGCTAAGCTGTGGTGCATCCATGATTTCTTTCATTCGCTGCTCGGCATCATACATGGCATTTACAAGTGGTGGTTGTCGATACGACTGTTTTTGTATAAACTTTTCAATCTCACCGGGAAGTATGTTGGTCTTGAGTCGTTGTTGATCATCTGTTGTTGGCTTTAAATCCAACATCAAATACCCGTGAGGTCGGCTCGTAGCATCTTCATAACTCCTCATGAATTCTTGTACTTTTCCGGGATTTATTTGCCTTGCAAGCATAGAAATTTGTTGTTTATCTCTTGGTGACTTGAACAACACGATATAATGGGCGTTTAGGCTGATATTTCTCATTTCTTTGCCTTGATGAAATATATTTTGAACAATATAGATGATAGATAAATTCCGATGATGACTGCCTTTCGTAAAAAGATCAGAAATACGTTTATCTTTGCCAGATTGAGCCATAAGGTCGTCCAATACGATCAAATTCCGTTGCGATAC